AGTCATGATGCATTTTTGCATAGAAAAATACAGAAAAAATACGTCATGACTTTTCCAATCTGAGTAAATAAATGTTTTTTTTTTTTAAACCTGTGAGTTTATTTTGATGTAAAAAATGTTGAAAAAATCCATAGTTTTTCTTTTTGTTTTTCAGAGAGTTTTTTTGCTATAGGGTGCATGTGTTTCCCAGAGAGACAGAAAGTGAGAGACCTCCCCTGGGGGTGGATAGCCACACCATAATTCCTCTCCTTTAGGGTCTTTGGGCACACACATGTACCTGGCGTGAGTTTAAGCTGCTGGGTCCAAGACTTTAACTGCAGTCAGCTACGTGGGAATCCAGCGATGTAATCATTATGCCATCTGCTGGTTGCTACATAGCTTTTTCTTTGATCTTTTCTTAAAATAATTATTTAATTTAATTTATTATTATTATTATTATTTTAATTTGCTATAGGGCACATGTGCTCACGAGAGAGCGAGAGAGAAAGAGAGAGAGAGAAAGAGAGATAAAGTGAGAAAGCAAACCACCAAGTCTGGGTCTCAAACCATGTGGGTCCAGTGCCTTAACCACAGCGCCACCTGCTGGCCCCCGTAGTTTTTTCTAATATGCATTTCCCATACCCTTTTTGAAGACCCCTTATAAATACTATAGGACAATTCTGTTTTTGAGAGTAATTTTTCTTTTAGAGAGATTTTTGCTATAGGGCATGTGTGCTTCCCAGAGACCCAGAGACAGAAACAGAAAGTGAGGAATCATCCCCTAGAAGGGATGGCCACACTGCAATGCCTTCTCCTTCATTCTCCTCTTGGGATTTTGGGCACCCATGCACACAATGTGCATTTTAACTTGCCAGATCTGGGACTTGAACTGCGGTAAACTATGTGGGGATCCATCGATGTAACAATTATGACATCTGCAGTCCCTACAGGACATATTTTCAAGTATGCCATATTTAAATAAATTAAGGCAAATCACTTATTAAATCCCATGCCCACTCCCCTCCCCCAAAATGGAAGAACCACAAAAGCCCTTTTTTTAAAAAAAATTAAAAGATATATATGGCCCACAGCTGGGATGATGTCATTTTTCTCAAGAGGCAAAAAAACTTACGGATAAGTGGATCAACTTACCGAAAACTCATCAGACATTTTCCTAAAAACAGAATAAAGACAATTTTAAAATTAGTGTTTATTGTATTTTTTAAGAAACTTTCTATGCATGTACTATCGGCGCTTAAATGGAATCTTAATCACTTTTGTAATGTGCTTTTCTTCATATAAGAAAAGTTCCTGTAGTTCTTATAGGGCTATCAACTCTATCCTCTTCAATAGCTATGCATCACTGAAAAATTCCTAACCTGGGGCCAGCAGCTGGCGTAACGGCTACATCACTGGCCTCCCATGTGGTTGACTGCGGTTTGAGTCCCGGACCCGGTGGCTTAAACTCACACCAGGCACATGTGCACGAGTGCCCAAAATCTTGGAAGGTGAATGGAGAAGGGATTGTGACATGGCCATCGCCCCTGGGGGGTGATTTTTAGTTTTCTGTCTCTCTGTCTTTCTGGTGAGCACACACACCCTATAGCAAAAACTTCTCTAACAAACAAAACAAGAAAGCCCCCCCCCCAATCTAACTAATTTACAGCCTCATTTTGTGACATTTCACATTGTTTTCAACAATGATACAGTGAATATCTCTACAAATACCACATACAAGAGTCTATCATCAGGAAAAAACATCAAAAGTAGGATATATACAACAGGTAAGTGTACCCCAAATCCACTTGAAAGTCCATAGTGATTTACACTGTCACCCTTTTCTCTAACTCCTCTCCTACTACTGTATGTTATTAAACAACACTTTCCTTTTTCCTTTTCTTTCTTTTCATTTTGCCATAGGGTGAGTGCCAGAGATAAAGGGAGAAAGCACCCCTCAAAGGATGTGTTCATGCTTCATTCCCTTCTCATCCATCTCTTTACCCTTTTGGGATCTGGGGCACACATGCACCTGAGCGCAGTGTGTTTTGTAGCCGCTGGGGCCAGGATTCAAACCATACATTCAGCCATGTGGCTTCTGGCTAACCTTAACAACTCAGCTATGGGGCTTAATTTTTACCTTCCACTTAGGCCTTTTCTCTGCCAGGACTTAAAGTATGAAATGTTAAACAGTAGAAGTGAGCACGGTGATCTTGCTCCTCGCTCTCTAAGCAATGCTTCTACTAATGAACCATGCTTCTCATTTTCAGTTTGAGATTTAAAAATAAAAATTTATTTGCTAATACTATTTACTTTTTAAACTTGACCAGGCAGAGAGAGAGAAAGGGAAAATGGGAAAGCAGTCAGCCATGTGGGAGTCCAGCACTGTAAGCACCACACCACCTGCCAGTCCCTTGTTTAAGATTTTAAAAAATTACACAAAGGTAGTTTTTATTTATATGCATGTTAAGAGTTACTTATTCCTATTTAGCCAGTTTAAAAAAATGCATGAGCCAGCCACTGGTGTGATTAATTAAGGCGGCTAGATCCCACACTAGTCCCAGTAGCTTCAAAAACATGCCAGACATGTGTGCCCAAAATCCTGAAAGAAGGGAGAAAGGACTGCTATGAAGTCAACTGTCTCCCTACCCTTTCTTTTTTTCCTGTCCCCTTCTTAAGCTCACATGTAGTATTGTATATTTAAAAAAGAAAAACAAACAAAGACACTATCCTTTTTGGTATCTAATGAGTAGATTGTAGTTTTTCTCTTTAGATCTAGCAATACAGTTAATTATATGAATAAGCTCATTAATATCCAGCCATACTTGAATTCTTAAGAATTTTAGTTTTCTGGGGACCAGCAGTTAGCATAATGGCTATGTCGCTGGACTCCCACGTAGTCGACCACGGTTCGCGTCCTGGACCCGGTGGCTTAAAACTCACGCCGGGTGCGTGTGCGTGCGTGCCCAAGACCCCAAGAGGAGAATGGAGGAGAAGGGATTGCGGCATGGCCATCACCCCTGGGGGGAGACTTCTCGTTTTCTGACTCTGTCTCTGTTCTGTCTGGCGAGGCGCCCTATAGCGAAAACCTCTCAAAAAAAAAAAAAATAAAAAGAATTTTAGTTTTCTTTCTTTCTTTCTTTCTTTTTTTTTTTTTGCTGGAGGGCACGTGCTCACCAGAGCATGAGACAGGGCAGGAGAAAAGATGCCCCTCACAATGGAGTGCGGTCTCGCTGCAATCCTTTTTCTCCATTTCTCCACCTTGTTAAGGCTTGGGGTGCACATGCTGAGCATGTTTTTCAAGCTGCAGGAGTCAACATGCAGGCGACCATGTGGAATCTGACTCCATTAACCACTAGGCCATGAGACCTGCCTTTAAGAACTTTATTTCTGGGAACCAGCAGTTAGCGTAATGGCTATGTCGCTGAACTCCCATGTAGTCGACCGCGGTTCGTGTCCCGGACCCGGTGGCTTAAAAACTCACGCCGGGCGCATGTGCATGCGTGCCCAAGATC